CCTATCGTGAATAAGATTATTGTATGAGTTGGTCGTGGATTCAAAATGGCCAGTTGGAATTTTTTGTATATCGATCATCTTTAGATTAGCTTTTCTGGATTCGTATAGTCCATTCTTTCTCACTATGTTGGTGTATCATTTATGTTTAATGGTCTGGTTTGCAATGATTCTATTTGATCTTTTTGTGCGTCTTTTTTGTTTCTTGGAATCTTTGTTTTTCTCTAACAGCTAATTGAGAAGACACCAATGGTCAAGTTAGCTTTTTTGTTTTTCTCTCCCACCGTCCGGCAGCAGTGCAGGGTGGGAGAGGGAGACGGAGCGGAGGAGGGCCTTGGCGCTACGGTTTCGGTGGCAGATGGAGGGGGCGGTGCATCCATCTTGGCCACCGGCACCGGTGAAATCGTCGGGGAAGAAGAGGCTCCGGACCTCCTTGAAGGAGGAGCACGAGAATGTCAGAGCGGCGGCGCCGGCGGCGGCCTTTTTTGCCTGAGCTCTGGTTTTGGATCGTCTCAGCCACATGGGGTTTCCAAAAAAAAAGGAACCGGGGCAATTTCCTTCAAGTTGGACGCAATCTGTATTTGATTTCCTTCAAAGCGGGGCAATCTGTTTTTGTGCCTGAAGTTTAGTCTTGATTTTTCTTCAAATTGTACGCCCATTACATTTGATTTCTTAGGGGCAATTTTGTACTTTCCAACATTTATGTGGGTTAATTTCAATTTTCCCTTTTTTTTAACAACTAACTTATCCTACACTAATCCAACATAACAAACACAGGATAAAAATAATCCAAAAAATACAATCCTACAAGTTTGGATTATTTTTCTCCAATCCCATCCCACCAAACAAACATGCACTAAATGTTTTATTTTATTTATATTAATTTTTAAGAATATAACATTCCATAGTAAATATATGTATATTTGTTGTATTTACATTTTTCCCAGCAAAATAGTAATATCATAGAAAAAGAACAAAAAAGTTGAGAAATATGGGTTTGCAATAGTTTGGAATATGTCTCTTTTTGTGTTATTTTATGAGAGTTTTTTCAATACAATTCTTGAAAGATAAGTAAAATATCAAATTAAGTCATAGAATTAACAAAACCCATAACATAATTAAATTGA